GTTGAAGCGGCCGTCCAGAGAGAAGCTGTGGAGCGCAATCATCCTGGACTGTGTGGAGACCTGTGGCCTCATTAGACAGAAGCTGATGGAGAAAGCGTCACTGGCCAGGTGAGGGTTTATTCATTATTGTTTCTGTTTATTTTTCCTTTATCTTCAGATCATCCTGTCAGTTCTTTACGCCAATGTATTTCAAAATCAATTCCCGTGATCTGCTTAAGGTGTCTGCTGGAGGAAGGAGGGCGAATTTTCCCAGAGAAGATCGTGGTGCACGGTATGCTGGTGGAGTCGGACACGTTGCTACTGGAAAGTGCAGTCCAGGGTCAGGAGCCAACGTTGGGATTCAATATTGCTCCTTTCATCAACCAGTTCACTGTAAGTATACATTCAGAAGCTCCATACCCAACTTCTCTATTGCAAGTGCCTCACATGTATAGACCTTTTATTCCTGTTGTTAATGGTCACTTTTGATTAGACGGGCCACAGATGATTTTTTTTTTGTTTTCAAACTGGGCTTCAATATAAAAACTGAAGGCTTTCTTAACAGACAAACAGCTGGGACTATTGTTTCTCTGTATTGTCACAAAGAAAGTTTTATGTCTTGAGAAAAACACAAGAGAAAGATAAGTTAATATGTAAATAGCTGTTGAACAGTTTATTTGTTTCACTGTCTTATTTAAAATACAATTTAAATATTTGACTCTACAGAGAAAAATCTAATATAATGCATCAAAGGTGATTTCCTACATGTTGGCTGCGTGTTTGGCATCTTTGACAGCAATGTATGCTCTGTGTACTCCACGCCATTGGTGATTTGTGCACAAACAACAGCAGCTAATAAAAAATCTGCTTAAGAGGTTTACAACATCATTTAACTGTGAACTTTGATTGCTATAAACTAAGTATCGCCTAACAATCCAGTCATTTATACGTTTAGGTTTATAAGTTCAGGCAACATGGTCAGATGATACAGGCAGGCCTCACCATTATTCAGTGTTGTTACCAAATGGTAAGAAATAGTACCAACATCTTTGAGTACAGTAACGTAAATTTTTTTTACTTCAGTCTTAATGATTGGATCAATCTTTGCAGATATTCAGTTTGTAAATGTAAATACTCCTTTGTTAACAAAAACATTTTTACCAGTACATCAGTGTCTTTTTAGAGCTCGACCGATTTGTCGGAGGATATGAGCGTATCAAGTGACTATAAGTATCGACTAATTTTATCGCAGATATCCGACCAATATTACTACATCTATTCACTAGTGAAATACCATTTCATTTGAATATCATGCACTAGCAGTTCTTTCACCAGCAGTGTATCCCATATGGATATGGATTACAACAGGTGTCAAGCAGTTGAGTGACAAATTCATTATATCTTTTCCACAAGTGTTTGATAACTGCATTTGAGGGATCAACACAATAAATGTGTGTATCAGTATATCTACAGATCAAACATAGATCTTGAAACGAAGATATCGGCGGATATATCGGTTTCAGATTTTCTTTTCCTGCCCAATATCAGTATCCGTATCTGCCCCAAAAATGACATATCCCTCGACCCTAGTCTTTGCATCACCTCATGTAGGGTTGAGCAAACATGTCTGGTTTGTTTAAATCATGGTTGGCAACACTGATAAACTGTATTCAATTAAGATTAATAAATTGAAGGATTTCATAAATTCTGTAGGCTCATAAAATATTCTAATATTAATTAGTACTTTTGGACGGTTTCAAAGTGAGCCATTCACACTGAAGAACTCTAAAAGACATTGTGTAACCGTTACTCCTTCAGTCTTCTCGACTCTAGTTGCAAAATCTTCCTTTTGTACGTCTCAGGCCACGAGGATCTCATATTCCGTCTCATGTTCCTGATGCAACCGTCAATATTGGCATATTTCACATGCAGCATTCTGTGTTTGTAAGCTTGCATCATTCACATTCAAAGTTCGCACATTAGTTGCAATAAGTTGCCTGCGGGTTTTGTTAAATGTGATTGACACATAGTGCAATGCTATAAAAGTACAAACAAAAAAAAATCTCCGAACAGATTTAACTTGTCTTATTTCATCAGTCCATCCATTCCACTGTTCATCCAGTTGTTTGGTTTCCTTCTCTTTACAGGTTGTCTTTTGTTCAACAAAGTATTTCTCCTGGAATACTAAGGTCCAGGACTGTGCTTCCTTTTGTGCACGCCTCTTTTGATGTGTGCTTCCCTGTTCAATTTAAGTCGCAGTAAAATCCCTTTGAATTCTTTTTTCTTTATTTGGTCTGGAAATTATTTCTCCTTCTTTTTTTTTTTCTCCAGCATCGTGTTTGTGCTCTAATTCTGCAGGGCCCCATGGGGACGTGGGTCGTTTGTTTTAACAGATGTTGTCTCAGCGGAGGGCACTTTCTAGCACAACTGTCACACAACACACAGCCTGGCCCACCACATTCCTACCTGAATCCATCAGTACACATTACATCAAGCACATCAAACAGTGGGCTCTGAGGTCTAGAAGAAGTGTGACAGGGAGGAGGAAAGAATCTTTTGTTCTGCACTAAAAGAAACTGTGACACTTTTTTTTGGTTCTGCGACTTTGATTTCTCCTTTAGCTTTAGCTGCGGCCTGTTTGTCATGTCTGGAAGAGTTTGAGGAGGTAGATTAGTTTCCAAACAATCAGGGACTCTACAAATTCAAACCTAATGTGGATGAAAAGGGGTTTGTGTGAAGAAAGCCGGCAACATCTCATAGTCTGCTTTTGCATAATTTTAAAGTCTGCACAAATTTTTTTTTCTGGCTTAAGCTCTTTTTGTAAAGCCTTTTGTGAAAATGATGTTGCTACAGTAAAAAATGTTGTAAGTTGTACACTTAGATGAAGCATTGTGCTTTCATTTGTTTGGGGGATTTTCCTTCCCTAGTTGAGGACAATGGTTGCCAACTTATGCATCAGGAAGACCTCTTTTGTGTTCATTTTCACTGACAGACCCAACTAGCTTTTCCTCTTTGGTCTTCTAGGGCTTTTCATAGCATTTACTATACTTTTGACAGAGTTTTTTCACTACAAACAATTCACTAAAATGATGTTAATCTCTTGCGTCTTTCAGGTACCTGTCCATGTCTTTTTGGACTTTTCCACACTGGAGGGCAGGCATCTCAGTGAGTCTGTGGAGCTATTTGTTCTCAACCTCATGGATGCCCATGCAAACTACACCAACAGAGAAGTAAAGGTAAGACATAACGTTAAAGCTACATGATTTCTCCAAACATGATTGGATGTATCATAGTTAAACTGTCTTCCAAAATGTCACCTCTTTCCAGGTCGCTATTGTAGCACAATATTGAAAAGCCCGACCGATTTATCGCCCAGCCCATATCAGCCGATCTTAGCATATCTAGTGACTGTTGGTATCGGCTAATTTTATCGCAGATGTGCGCCGATATTACTAGATTGACCCAACAGTCAAATAGCATTTCATTTGAGTTTCATTTCATTACACTAGCATTTGTATTTCCTGCATTTGAGTGTGCTGTATTGATTACAACAAGCATTGTCACGCCCCAGAGTGTCTAGCAGTAATGCGCATAAATACGCGGTTACTTTCCAGCTGAGTGACCATCTTTTGTTTATTTCTTTTTCCACAAGTGTTTGATAACTGCATTTGATGGATCAACGCAAAAAATCTATTTATCGCTACAGATCTAAGCTAGATCATAGAAAGATATCGGCTGATGTATCGGTATCGGCTCCAAAAGCCCATATCAGTCGGGTCCTATCATTTTGAACTGCTGAAACATTATTTAAGACTTGAGCTGGAAATGGCCCAAAAATATCAAAATCTTGAGCTGTCTTTTTTTTTTTCAACCCAATTTCAACCCAAAAAAACATAGTAATAAGTCACACTCATTTAAAGACACGTCAAACGTGTAACTTTGCTCTACCTTCTTACACTGTATATATAAAATAGGCTTAATCCACAGTTTCAGATTCCAGGGGTTTGTTTTTGTTTTCAGCTGGTAAAAGTTTAGTTGAGGAACATTAAAAAGGTTTGCTTATTCATTTTTTGAGGTGCAATGTGAACTTATTCCTTTGAAGTCATGTCCGCAGAGTTCATAAATATTAAATGAAACACTGAAAATAGCTTGCCGTTCTGGGCTTTGTTTATTGTATTGCATGTGTTATTATTTTAAAGTTAACAGCAGCAAAACCAGACTCGTGAGTAACACGAAACTGGCTCAGAGAAAAGTCTGTTCATAGCAGATCATTCTTTTGTAACATTAAGCAGCTTAAGTCTTGGTCCCTTTTTTTCCCCAGGTCCAGGTCACGGCTACTGGAAGAGTAACTGCAGTTCCCTTCTGGTACAACATCTACCTCGACCAGGAGATCAGTGTCAGCACCCTCAGCAACAACTCTCACTGGAAGCAGGCGGCCGCAGTGCTGCAGCAGCCGCTGGAGGTGCAAGCCGGGGACTGGGTCTGCCTCGCTGTGAAGCTACACAAGAGCACCATCTCCATATCAGCCCGTATAGAGAATACCCCCTGATCAAGCAATAAACTTGTACAGTAGTCTACAACAGTATTTTCTTTCTTTGTGTCTCAGTGGCATAAAGGCTATTGACACACAGGGACATACTTGAATACAAAGCATTCCCTAAAAGATTGACCTTCTACAGGGTCATTTTTAATGTGATAACACATTTTTATAAATTGGATCTCTAATTAGTAGTTACAGTAAGTTGAACCCTGTTAAAAACCACACCTTTTAAAGAACCTGTGCAGTGTTATCACAATCACAAATTTTAAATTCCAAGCTTTAAAATTGTGAAAAATATCCCAGTACTTTTCAAATGTGTACTCATAAGTATATCATATGGGTGTATATATAGTACGGACATTACAGTGAAATCAGTATTGGCACACTTGCTTTTGTAAAGATGTTTGTTAGAATAAATAAAAAAACTATTCAAACAATAAGCGTGTGACATTTTCCCATTACATTCAAGAAGAAGAAAGTGTAGTTGTTGAAAAATGTAGTTTATTGAGAAGCCTGTCAGAGATGTAGTTTAACTAAAATGTGGAACATTTACATCAGCTCTTATGTGATCCTGTCAGCTCCAAAAAAATATCTAATCATATAAGGCAATGCAACATTCTCTAGCTGGACATTATGCAGGGTGATGCTGCTGATTTAATATATTTGATTTTGTGACACAAACTGATGCCCTACAGTGCACATTAAACGTGGGTTTTCCTGCACAAAGGATGGAAGTCTAGAGCTTGAAAAACAGTTAGAAATGGCTTAGGTGCCATGAGAGAGTATTAATGCTGATGCAGTGGATAGAGAAGTTGTACTGCACATAGAAGGCATTTGAGAAGACTAGTGGATACATCTCAAAGAATGATAGTGAGCTGTAAGCAGTGAAGCACAAAAACAGGAATTCACTAGATTGTGCTAATTGTTCCGTTTGAATTACCTAATGGTCTGATACTGTGAGCATTACCAACCCATAAAATGATGATTCTCTCGTGATGTCAGACTGTAAGACACATCTTCCTATGTGCAAAGCTCCAACCTACTTATCCCAAGTCCCAATTGTGCAATTTAAAGATTTGTAGCTTCGGCTCTTTTTATACAATCCTCTGGGATTTTTTTTTTTTTTTTTACACACTTAAAATCAGGCTTACATCCAGGCTCTGATGTGCTTTTAATTGTACATTTCCATTGACTTATTTCATCAATATCCTCTGATATCACTTAAAACCAAAAATAAAATTAAGAAAAAATGATTTTTAAAAGTTGCATATTTCTCTTCAGAGCGTACCTGACGTTGTGATATGACTAACGTGACCAAGACAATGTCTAAAAGTCTTTACTATTTAAATGAAATTAAATCCTGGCAGATCATAGGAAGCGATAGAACTCTCCAGTACGACACCAACGGCATCAAATGCACTTTATCTACCAGTCAGTTAGTGCCATAACTTCACTGAACATTCATACAGCTGTCACTGGCAGAGAGGTCCTTCTGGTTCTTTACATTATAGGAAGTCTTCTACTTTTTCTTGGTTGATGCTCCATTTTGTTTGGAGGTTAATCAGTACAGTGACGTGTGACAGAAAACAGCGAGGCTGTATTTGCGTCCTGCCCAAACACATCTGCTAGAGTCTGTAGGGGACATTAGCCTGAATGCTTGCCTAGGTAATCACAATGAGATCTGCCTCTGCTGGTTCTTTGGTTTGGTCGGTCTTTTCTTCTTCAGGGGTCTCTTCAGGTTGAGCCTCGTATCCTTCATCCCACAAGGCCGAGCCGAGTCCAGCAGGAGCTGATAAAGAGTGCGGTGCCAGGGTCCTGCCCAGGCCCTGGTACTGACCATTGGGAGAAACAGGGTTGGATGCCGCCTCTGTTATGACATCTTGGGAGCCCGGAGAGAGCAGGCCAGATCTCTCTCCGTCACTCTCTGCCTCACCAAAGTAGGATTTCCTGGGACGGCCCATGACTGTTCTTCCTGTCAGTGAGAAAAATTTAAATCTTGTGTTTGAGAACATTCAACAGATACTTTCGGTCAAAAAAAACTAAAAACAAAATGCAAGTACTCCAGAGGGCACCTACCAACATTGCGGACTTGTTCAGAAATGTCTGCTCTGACATCCGAGATGTCCCACATTGCCATGAAAGAGTCAAAGCAAGAACCCTCCTCGGCCTCCTGGATGTAAGGCTTGTAGGTGAAGCTGAAGTGATGAGCAATGGCTGCCAGGAACATCTCCACACAGATGACAAAGTCCTGGAAATAGGACCGTTTTGTGTTTGAAAACACTCAAGTTGTATCAGATACAACAAGAATTTTAACCAGTAGAAAGCCCTATGTTTAGGTATTTTAACTGTATTAAATAAGCACATGCAGTTGTTATTCTTCAACCTGCGTTATTGTTTACCTGTAAGCCAGTGGCAACAGCCTCCACACTCTGCCATTCCCATGTATGCTTCTCTGAGATGATGCCCACTTTCACCAACAAAGCAATAAACGCAGCTTGCCTAGAAGATTTTACAGGAGGAAAAAGTCTCAGGATACATGCAAGCAAACAACACGAAACAACTCTTGCAAAGCAACTGTCAGACATTTCTTTTTAAGTACAAACACACTCTAAATTACCAGAAAGAGACGAACACCACCATTTTGACACATAGGAATTTGCCCACTGGTTTGATTGGACTCAGTTCCTCTCTGAGAGCTCTGTAGAACAGCACCAGGCAGTACATGGCAAACTAGATAGAGAGCAGGAGAAAAAACAGAGACATGTCATCATGCTCCCAGGACCCAATACACAATAGTTTTTCAGGAAGGCAAATTACACTAAGGTGTATTTCTTTAAAAATAAAAATAAATACAAAGTTTTACCAGCTGTGACATGTTGTTGAAGATGACCAGGTATGTCCATGCATTTGTGGAACTAAAATTGCCTTCATCATACACGCCACACAGCTCACAGATCCTAGGAGAGGGAAGAAACAAAGTCATTAGAGACATCAAAAACAGACAGTGAATAAAGAGCATAGGATGGTATCAAGGAGTGAGAGAATAGAATAAAAACATGTAGTTCACTTAGAGCAGAGTCTACTTACAAGGCAATGACTGTTGTGACAGGTCTAACAACTGTGTACTGCAGCACTCCAAGTTTGCATCTCAACAGCAACACCCTGCAGAGGAAATAACAATTTAAATAAATGAACTTGTTTATTGTACTTCACTCTTTGCGTATGACACTTCCACTGAATAAAAACAATGACAGTCATATGTAAGAAATATGGGAGGCGAATCATCAAATCATCAGTGTACTAAGAACATTTTAACATTAAACCGCCTGTTTTCCTAAACAACTGCTGAACCACTGGCCACTGGCACAAAAATGCAAGCACACTGTCAAGGAGTGACAGCAGCTCAGTCTGTATGGACTTGGGTTGTGAACCAGAGGGTTTGTGGTGCCCAATATGACCAATATGGATGTTGTGTGTAGCAGCCCCACTCTGACATCTTAACATTAATGCATGTCCACAGGTCCTGTTTGTGCATGTGTGTATTTCGGGCCTATGTGTGTGAGAATCATGTCTCTCATCACAGAGTGGAAACCAGAGTTTCCCTCAGGGATTAATAAATTATATAAAATAAAAAAAGGGTTAAACATTAGGATGGGCACTACTATAAATATAACAGGCCTCCCGACAGGGCTTACTTAATTTAAGTCTTATATGATTTGTTTCTTCCTCATCTTTCAGGAAAGACAAGCTGATCCCCAAGTAAAAAAAAACAAGCTTATTCTAAATTAACTGCACATGGACATGTTAACCAGTTACAGTTTTGCCTGACTGAGGCTGATTCAAAGCTCATGACTCATGCTCATGTAAATGATTTGTTTGCCTGCATGGAGGAAAAACTTCTCAAAACACTATAAAATTAAATTAAACCACGAGACAAACTAAATCGAAGTTCAAGCAACAAACTCAAGCTTTATTCTAAATTAATTGCACATGGGACATGTTAACCAGTTACAGTTTTGCCTGACTGAGGCTGATTCAAAGCTCATGATCATGCTCATGTAAATGATTTGTTTGCCTGCAGGGAGGAAAACTTCTCAAAACACTATAAAATTAAATTAAACCATGAGACAAACTAAATCAAAGTTCAAGCAACAAACTTCCTTTTTTCCTTCATTCCATTGTTTCTATTTTTCGCAGAACTATCAGCACTGAATTGAAATCCAAAGATTGTCACAGGGGTCCATGTTGTAGGTCTTTACTTGTACAATAACAAAACTATAATATTATATATAATAATATTATATATATATATTTTGTCAGGTGGATCTCTTCGTGTGGCAATTCAAACAGGCAGCAAGACAATGAGAGTATGGCCATTAAATTTGAACAATGATTTATTTTAAACCAAATTCTTGGCTCCACTAAGGGCGCCGTCACACTGGCCACCGTACCGTGCCCAAGCACGCTTCAACCCCTAAAGTCCAGTTCGTTTGGCCAGTGTGACCGCTCCGTGCAATACTCAGGCACGTTACACTTCCTTGGCTTTGGCACGGTACACTTCATGCACGAGCACAAGCACGCAGGTACACAGCGCTGACAGCCTTCATTATGGAGAAATCCAGAGTTTCGTGGCTATATCTGACTAAAATGACTCAATATAAGACACAAAGTAGCTGTCAGGTTCTCTGTGTTGTTCTCTGATGTGCGGTCGCTGACTCGGCAGCGCTTCTATTTTATTTTTAAAATATATTTATGGCTGTGTCTGATTAAAATAAGCTGCAATGTCAGTAAGTAGCGGCCATGCTCTCTGTGTTGTTCTCTGATGTGCAGAAGCAGACTCGACTCGACTGCGCGTCCTCTCTCTCTCTCTCTCTCTCTCTCTCTCTCTCTCTCTCTCTCTCTCTCTCTCTCTCTCTCTCTCTCTCTCTCTCTCTCTCTCTCCTCTCTCTCTCCTCTCTCTCTCTCTTCTCTCTCTCTCCTCTCTCTCTCTTCTCTCTCTCTCTCTCTCTCTCTCTCTCTCTCTCTCCTCTCTCTCTCTCTCTCTCTCACGCGTCATAATAACAGAAAGCGTGCATGTGCTCGAGTACGGCACGGTACGGCATTTGGATAGTTGACTGATGTGTCAGCGGCAACAAATTAAGGTGAACAACTCAAGCATCAATTTGGATCTAAAAGGTCCCACTTGATTTTCATGTATACAATTCATTATTGTTAGACTTATGTAATTCTAAAGGACACTTACTCTCCCATTGGCCAGGCCGGACAGCAGCACAGAGGGGGCAGGTGTTTCTGCTGCTCCTGGACCTCCAGCATCAACACCAGGCTCGGGTACTGATTTTCCAGGTAGTTCAGCAAGAAGGTCATGAAGTTGTAGATGACGTAGGCCTCATAGCATTCTCTGCATGTGTCCACGTAAATTGCAATGCCGGGGTATTTTAAAGCAATCCACTGCAGGATTTAAGAGCAAACAACAACAACGGGCATTGTAAGAAGGGATAGGATGTTTCATTTATGAACGTAAAGGCATTCACTCAACTTTATTTTGATATACTGGATCTGATAAATAACTCACACTGTCCAAACTGTAAATTGGGACCATCCATAATATCCTGAGAAAATCAAAACATAAAAGATGAATAAGCAGTTTTAAGACGATTGTTCTTGGATTGTAACGACTGTTGACATCTTCACCTGATTATAGGCTTCTGAAGCTCAGGCTGAGTGTAGTGAACCAGATGCTGCAGTATGCCCCATAACGATATAGGGATGGTCATGAAGACGAATATTCCAGCGATGAACCATGCTTTATAATGAATGCCAGCCTGTCAGTACATAGAAAGAAACAGTCCACACAGTTATCTTACATTTTGTCATGCATTTAAGACTGGGAAAGTTCAATTATGGGTACTTTTTTTTTTATACACCTGATGCACAGTCAGAGCTGAAAGATTACCCAGATTCTTTACTCAACTCAAATTCATATTTTCAATTAGACCATGACACTTCATTCTACTTGTGAAAGAGGGTCTTCACATCAATGAAGAAGAGGTTTTGCAGTGATCAGTGCACTTCACTTAGAAAGTTCATTTCTAAATATGTTAGTTATATAGTTGCTCTGAAGTGAATGGAGGGGGGAGGTTAAATATATCATTTTGGAATATAGAGCAGTATTATACTTTCCAATATAAATCAATACAACATTACTGGAGTGAAGTATAAGTACCTCAGCATTGTTAACTAAAGTGAAGTATCACTTTAGTTAACAGGTCGGTTTGATTATTTTTTTTGTGAGTGTGACTTCTGTTTCGTTTTTTTGTTTGTTTGTTTGTTTCATTTGTTTTGTTTTGAAAGAAATTCTTAGAACACATTTTGTTCTGATATGTTTTTGTTTTTGTAACCAAACTAGTAGTGTCTTAAATAATAAGATGTGTAAAGAAGGGCTTCACACCTTTTCGGTCAAAATGTTTTGTTTTTTTCTTGTGACCGAAATAAATGATCACTACTGAAGCATTTGAGTATAAATGTGCGAAAGTACATTTCGACTCTGCGTGAAACCAAACAGGGCTCCTCTATCAAAACCAACAAACACCATCATATACATCACTTCCATTGACTGCTCGAACTGACCTCTGACTTCTGTAGTTCCCAGATACACAAAGGCAGGACCACTAAGAGCAATAAAATGTAGAGCACAACGACCAGCGGCCGGATCCATCTCCTCCAGTTCCCAAAGGAACAAGGCATCCTGACATGAAGACGCTGGGAGGCCGCAGGTTGATTTCAGTGACAAAACAAATTCACTGCTCGATACATTAAACCTTAGCTTCGCATTATTACACTTCCACCTCCTGACTGAAACCCAAACACGCCTTTCTCTTGTGCACACGTACGCTGGCTCTTACGCGAGCGCAGCGTTGCATTCATGAGGGCAAAGCCTTCGGATAATTACCAGCTCATATGACTTGATTTTACCATGCTAGGTGGCTAACGTTAGCTTCTCAGCTGTTTCACCATGTAAACAAACAAAAAAAAAAAAGCAGGTGATCAGTTTTGCTGTGCCGTTGAACGCATCTCTGTTCTAACGCGGTCGTATAAACTACCAATGAAAACGTCATCCGACTTCGTAAATAAAAATTAGACGAGTTTATTTGGAAGATCTGCGCTGATAAAAGTTTCCGAAAAAGTAATTTTCTTCTTCTATTGAGTTTGCACTTCCTGTTTTGTGGAGGGGGTTCGTAGTAGTCCCGCCTACAATGTGGAATATGATTGGTTGAAAATGAGGCGTTTAGCCAATCGACGAAGAAATAACATTTCCCCAGTCTCTTGTAGCCTGTTTGGTTGCTCTGCATTCTCATTGACCACATGATCTGTGCTCCCGCCAGCAGATGGCAATGTGAATTAACAATTACCAGTACACCAGACCTGTGTTTTTAATGCGGTTTAAAGAATTAAAAAAATACAACTGGTCACCTTTTTCTTTCTTTTTTTTTTTTTTTTTGTCATTTTATAGCCTACTTTCTATCATGTTATCATCTTATTTGAATGACAGGCGCCTACAAATGTAATCTCTGGCTCAAATAAGACTTGAAAAATAATGAAACCTCATAAAGAAAGCGATGTATAATAGATGTATATTATAGCAGAAAGTGGACAAAAGCGTATTAGTTAAAGACGTTTGCACTGTACAGTATACAAAATCAAGCAGCCGTATCAATATATGAGCAAACAGAGTTCTTGAGGTAATTCTAATTTGGTAAATTCATTAATCATAGAAAAATAAATTTGATTGATTTTGTGGTTTTTTACACAGAATATTTTAGATATATTTAAATGGTCTGTTTTTAAGTTCAATTTATTGGAAGAAATAGTGCTTGAATGACGCATGGGGGGTATTGGAGATACCAAATTGCAACAGACATCCATTCTACATCCCCTTTAGAAAAACACAAGTTTGATTGCAATTTGGTCTGTTTTAAGTTTTCTCTTTCTCTTTCTCTGTCTCTCTCATTCTCTCCCTCTCCCTCTCTCTCTCTCTCTATATATATATATCTGTCTATTTCTATCTATCTTTCTGTTGCCATCTGAATTTTCTTCTTACCTTTCTGCTGGGTGCACGTGTAGATGCGCACATGTGTGAGTCTATTTGAGTCTGTGTGTCTTTGTGAGTCTTTGTGTCTTCCTGCAAGATGAGGGGAGGCAGAACCTTCCTTTCTGTGGCACCGTGTCTCCACTGCCCCACAGTCACAGAAATCACTGGTTGTAGCAGGACAGATTGTTCATGAATTTTGAATTGATCCTTTTGGCTTTTATGAATTAGAAATAGTCTTTGCCACAAGTCGTGTAAGCGAGTGCCATGGCGGATAGCTTGGAGGCATTGCCATGCAAAGTGGCAAACAGGGTACAGTCGTGTAAGGGCCGGGTAGATAAACATATGCTGTGTTTGATCAGACCCCAAACAGATTTTAGCATTCGAAAGGATGTGGCGTCCGTTATGTCTCTCTGAATCATAGCCATTACTGTAGGGTGGAGTAAGTCGAACAGTACGTGCCTCGCAGGAATAGTCGGGATAAGCAGAATGGATAGGTCTGAAGAATAGTCATAACCAATGCACAGCAAAGGAGGAGACATACTGTCTGATTCCTGAGTTATAATGTATCAGCCAAAGTGCACCTCTTTTGTCAGAGGGATAAACAAGTCTGCAATTGTTCAACTATTACTAATTTATCTTAATACGTCAGCCACAGGCCTTTGTGTCAGGAAATGTTCAGACTCTCTGAGGGCGTTCACTTCAGTTCAACTGCTCCTGAACAACAACATGAGTGCATACGAAGTCTCCGGAGTCATACAGATTTATCAGAAGTTTTTTTTTTTTTTTTTTTTTTTTTAACAAGATAAGTTATTTCTTTTCCTTTTTTTTACCTGTAGTCCCTGTAAAATAATGGTTCTTATAACATTTAACATAGGATTTGCCATGATGTATTTACCTCATGAGAAGGTGAGAAATTTGTAATTTTTTTTAATTTGATCATCGTTGTAATTTTATGTTCTAAAATGTTAAAGGATATCGTTAAAACATATTTAAATTTAAATAAAAGAAGATGAAAACAAAAGCTAGTTTTCTTTTGTCCCTACCTGTTATGAGTCCCCTTATCACCAAAGTAATTCATTTTATGGGTGTCATTTTCCAAGTTTGGAAATACATTTTTACCAAAAAACTTCAAGCTTTTTCTTGTTTCCTGATAGAAAAAATGCCCTCTAAAGCTGCTTTTACTATATCAACAACTAGCTCTGAATAAGCTCTCCACAAGAAGCTCTTAGGATCTTTGAGATCCTTTATTATTTGTTTTTGAGCTTTATTCAATTCACTTCTGGCGCGATTTAAGGTTCCCACCAAATTCCAAAGGGCTCAAACTACTCTGATTCACTCTCACTCACTTTCCTCTCAGCCGCTGATTTCTTCTTCTTCCGCATATTTCACCCTATATATATATATATATATATTTTTTTTCATCCAGTTTCATTTAGCTGTGAAATCTTATACTGTAACTAAGCAACCACTGATTCAAGCTGTTTTGTATTTACGCTGGGTAATTGCAACCTGATAGTGAGTTGATTTCATATGAGGAACATGAACCAGTTTTATAAACTTTATGACCTGACTGGGACATATCACCAACCCTCTAAAACACATAACAGGCCAACGACTGATAAAGCCACTTTTCTGTTGCTTTTGGGGATTCTGCAACTTTGTGTATAAGATTTCATGCCTCTGGTATTTGTCTTCTTTTGAAGGCTACAGTGAGTTTAATGCTGGGTCAATGACATCTTTGGTCACAGCAAAGTAGACTTTTAATTGTAAGATACATTGTCTTTTTTTATACATTTTCATAAAAATTAGATCTTAATTTAATTGATGTAGACCAAAGAAGTGTGTCACATTAAAGAAACAGAAGTTGAAATGCTATAATTATGGAACTTTCACAATAAAAACACAAAGTATTTATCCTGCCACATCCTTGTTAATATATGACTCAAACGTGGATTAGTAACGGTCAGAGTTTGTTTCCCTCGATTCTCTTTTGGCAACAGATGAGAAGTGAGTTATAAGTATCAAATTCCCACCATCCTAGCTGTTCACATCCTCTCCGCTGACATTAGCAACCCTAAGGGCTCAGTTGCCAAGCAGGTCACAGTGTGCTTCAAATCACTCCCAGACGCCTCTTTCTCACACACTCAGATGAAAAACAGAAGGGGCCCTCTTGACTTCCCAGAGAAACCAATATTAGTATGATGGTGAAATAAGCCTCCTTGTACATATCTATACAGAGATGGAAATGTATTCATTAATTTAAGCAGCAGCATTTAATGGTATATCAGTTATATCACTTTCATTTTTTACAGAATATCGCTCCAATGAATAGTGGTTAAATAACACTACAGATATGGCCTGTTCATCTGTACACAAGTGTGAAAAACACTCGAACAAAAGAAGTGCAAGTAGATAAAAACACAGGGCTATCACATGCTAACACACTTTCAAACACACACAGGTTTACATGTGTTCACACATCAAACAGTATAAGGCAGTATGGTTGTTTGATATGACTATCACTATCACTACTATTTGGTATGGTTAATGCTCTTTTGAGGTTTTTGTTTCAAATTAGTTCTACTTTTTTTGTCTCTTAAAGGGCAACCTGTAGTTTGGAGACCTCAGTGAATGTGTAGGAAAATGTATTTTTAATGAAATTTATCGTCAGTGACTTCTGGAATCATTATGGTATGTTTGCTTTTGTTTCTGCATCAAAAACAGACAACCAGATGTGACGTAACATGGGGGAATCCCGCTCATTTCGCTATGTTTAACATGAATTTAGATGGACCTACATGCCTGTCATGTGAATGAAGAGGGGGGAAAAGTTTATTTATATGTACTGTATATATATTAAACAGACCACAGGCTTTTAACCATGAGCCTGTTTAGGTATGAAAAAGATCAGGAACAGGTCAGGATTAGGAGAAATATTAGCCATAGGAGAGAAGTTGAGTTGTGGTGTGACAAAAACCAGGGGAGAACAGTGCAGTTGTCATGGTGAATGACAGTGTTCACTAGTGATATCTAAAACTGTGTAAAACAATTTTGCAAAGTTTGTTGTCACATGGCTATCATGAGGAGTGGTAAGTGGGACATTTAACTAACCCATTACTATTAGACCTACTAAAAGGTGATTATCAGCTCGTATCAGTTCCTATTGTCTTCTTTAACTCTAAATCTGTACGTAAGTTTTACGGTGCCAAACAAACAAAAAAAAGGACACAAAGATCTGTGTGGTTGTCCCCCAGATCCAGGAAAACATCTGTATTCTCAGCGTTACGCATTATTTTAACTCTAACTACTGCTCAAAAGTCACATCCCCCATCACGTCAGCATGTGCAGACGCAGTTTATAAATCTTAATGAGCTGTGCACATAAATACAGGACAGATTGAGTCCCATATAGCCTGGAGAAAGGGACAGAGCACAACAGACAGACAGATCCCCATTAAATCTGCTCCTTTCCTTTCTTATCAATTGTAGCTTCACTGCTCTTAGTTGTGAACTCTCAAAAACCGTACACTACGGTATGACTCGCAATGTCTCCCCCCATCTGTCAGGAATCACTCCATAACTTAAATACAGTATCTTACTGAAAGAATACCTACAAAAAGTTGTGCTAAGGCAGAGTTGGAGAAAACTAGTCCCACATGTGATGTAATATGATGCTATGTTGACAAATAAAAAGTGTTTTTAGCAGCTTTACTAAAGATGGCCACTATTACCTCTTGATTTGTGTCCTTATGTCTTGTAGAACATATTCAATCAAGTTTTGGCCTTATCAACAACCATTTTCTGACAGGTTTGAGTTTTAATATGGTAAAAAAAAAACATGTATATAACCTGCAAGATGCTCTTTAAATATGAAGCTACATCCTGTTGGAAGTTAGCTGCTTGCTAGCAAAGCCAAAGAATGAAAACTCAAGGTAACAGCGAGCTAGGCTAAAAAAACACGCAAAAGGCCAGTTTAACACTTTGGTTTCATACAAATGAAGCTGACTAGATGTTGGTAGTTGGATTTTGTTAAATTTAGATATACTAAGCAAGCTGTTAGCTAGCTAGCTCACCCCTTTTTCCAGTATTATCTATTGCTTTGCGAAAGCCATTGAGCATGACTTCCAAAATGCCAAACTATCCATTTTGTGATTAGTGTCAAGCACCACCACCGCCACTTAAAACTCATTAGCCTCCATCATTATACAGCTGATGTGTTCCAAGTTAAATACTTACTACTACTGCAATATAACACTGTGGACACTTCATACATTTATATTCCATCGGTTATAGCCTACAAGCAATTAAGTCACAATTGATTATACTTGGTTAAATTCACAGTTTTTAGTCTAATATGATATCAGACCTGTCGTAATTCATCACTTCATTATTATATCTTGCAAGACATGTGACATGGGATGCAAAGTTGTGCCTTATCTGCTCTAACACCTATACAACCTTGAACAAGATTTTGTGCCAGTGTAATTTGGTTTATTCTGACACCAGACATGATTCTGTGGTGAAATTTTAAATTTAGTAATTACTAACAAGAAGTTTGGGCTGTGATTAGGCAACAATTGTATGTTTGAAGTTCAATGATGCATATTTTGTTCAAAGACATTCCCTATTTTTCCTGATGAAACATGCAAAATTATTGTAAAAGGAGGCAAATCAGGGGGCAAATGAACAAAATTCTTCCATATATACCACAAAATACTCAATGTATTATCTGAAAAATAAACTTCTTTACAGCTTGCGTGTTTAATGGGAAATGAATCCTTGCTCGAGCAGTAACATACTTTCCAGTTTTCCACTGTCGATGAGTTGTGAACTCCTGGGTAAAGAACATGTCCAATCATTACCTCTGACAGCGAACAGTCTGCTTTTCTTTCCTGTAGCTTTGTGCATCCTTCCCAGTAGTATTGCCCTTTACAGGAATAGCACACTCAGCTTCAGATTGAGAGTAATTTATAGTCACAATTGAGCTGCATCCTGTTCAAGAGTAGTCATCCTTCTCATCCCACTTCCTCCTGTTTTCTCTCACGCCACAGCATTACTGTCTTTGGGTGTGGGAATACAGGAGTTTGCTTAAGGAAGTCTTTCTTGCTCGCTGAGAGGCTTTGGTAGCTGAAGAGCACTAAATCCATTGTTTGTTCGTTTTGACTCCAGTCCCTAATTCATCCTTGCCAAGATTCATATGTTGCTTCAGTGGTACATTAGGATGTGAATTTATAGTCTTTTTGATGTATATACTTTAGGGTGGAATACATTGTAGTTTAAAAGCTGCTGAATATATGGAAGTTCTTGAAAATATTCCTCAGGTGAGATATCAGTCGCTGTCCTTCCTGATGCTACGATCAGTGTTGAGGTTGTTGGGCTCTGGGCTCTTACACTGGATACTGGTACCATTCATGGGTCCGATGCTGCTCAGCTGGTTGTCTGAGTAGCACCAGCAGCACAAACATGACTAGAAAAAAAATGCAAAGTGAAAAAAGGACATTTTAAACAAAAGACCACAACTTTTCTGAGGTAAATTTCTATTTATTGCCAAGTGTTTGATGGTAAGGTTGAGCCACTATTAGGAGTGTAGATACCAGGAGATGCTGGCTTAGCTTAGTCAACAGCTTAGATAACACGAGGAAATAGCTAAATGCACAAGGTACTGGCTGTTCCTGTCTTATTTTTAGTTATTAAGAAAGACTCTGTTTAGGCTCAAACTATATATAGGCTTTGTTTTCATATCTGTAATCAATATCACAGCAAGCTGTATTCTGAGCTCCTCTTTAAAGTCACTCATCTACAGTATTGTAAAGTTTCACGATAAAAATTGTATTGTGGGGGCGCTTATTGGCGCAGTGGTTAGTGCGCGTGCCCCATGTAGCGAGCGGCCCAGGTTCGACTCCAGCTTGTGAGACCTTTCCCGCATGTAATTCTTAACCCTCTCTCCCTGATTTCCACCTCTATCCACTGTCTTGTCTCTCAATTAAAGGCAAAAAAGCCAAAAAAAAAAAAAGTTCAAAAAATAAAAAATGGTATTGTGTGCCATGTATCGTGACAAGTATTGTCCTTGCCAACACCCTTCCCTAATCCTGCTCTATATATCGTAATCCATGCATTACATGTTTTTTATCTGGAGTAAAGATTAAAGGTAGTTGGACACTATTCTACTTCCTGGTTGGCTGAGAATTAGAGATTAAACATATAATTATTTATCGAAAAAGTATTTCCCAATGTGCAGCTATTATCTCATAGCTAACGCTCCTGTCTACAACAACTCCTTTAATGTTCTAACTTGAGGCATGGTTCATCTCTTGCCCAGTTCCCTCTGACAGACATTAACAGTGTTTGAACTCAGCTATACAAAGAGTGTACATAAATCACTGAACTGGTTTTACATGTTGCTCATGGAATGTCATCACAGTCATATCCTCTGTGTCATTGATAAAGACATGAGTTCACTGTTTTCTTTACTGGCCACACAACTCTAGTGTTAGTGTGTGTGTTTATGTTTGAGAGGGAGAGGGAGAGGGATTAAGAGTAGGTGGGTGTATGCATGCATATCCATCTGTTTTAGGCAGGCAATATACCTTGAAGCAGTTTTTAAACTTCTTGCTGACAATGTAGAGGATGATGGGGTTTATGCAGGAGTTGATTGTTGCGAGGTTGATACCCACATAATCCATAACCAACAGTAAACTGAAAATAGAAAGAGAAAATCATTGATAACGTTTCATTCTTCTTACCTTCACCCTTGAATGGATAAAAAAAAACTTCCTTGCCAAATCAGTCTTGTTTTTGACCACTATTTTGGAAACATATTTAAATACTGCATCTACCAGGATATGTTCAAAGACAGGTCTTTTCAAAGTGTTCAGGCTATAGTTTCAACCCAGAAAAAAAACAAATGAAATTCTAAGACGTGTGTAATTGAGTTGTTAAGCTGTTAACTCACTTGAGCAGCTTGCAGCGACTCTTATCATTCTCGGTGTAAACCGTCCTCCTAATGATTCGGCTGAGGTGCAATGGAAACCAGCAGAGGGCAAAGATGAGAACAAGGCAGAAGACAGCTTTGGCCACCTCCCTCCTCTGCAGGGAGACAAAATACAACTCATCACATCGTCGTGTAGGAGATAAAGACGTTTTCTTAATGGATGATATGAGGTAAAAGCCATCCCTGTCCCCTGAGCCAATGTTGATTCAGTTTTATTTCCTTTAAAATATGCAAAGGCTCAGAGCGTACAAATGCGTTCATGGCCCTTTTGTGCAATAAACACCTGAATTTATGAGGATTTATGGGTTATTTACTGTATTATTATTTAGAGTTACCTGTTTGAGGTGCTCACTGAGGGCTATCCGAAGGCTGCCGTTCCTGTGGCTGAGCATCTCAAAGGTCATCAGAGTGTAGAATATAACCGTGCAGGCCAATGGTACACAAAAGTAGAAGCCAAACAACCACCAGTCTTTCGCATTTGCGTAGAACTACAGATAAACAAGCACATGTGAAAATGTAAGTAACACTTAACATGCTGTACTTCTGAATACATATCCTACTTACACAAATCTTCACTTTAAAGATACAACATGATACAACAGGTGAACAACTACCAGTCTACCCCTGCACTCCAAATCATTGTGCTCCATGTGAGTACCACATGTGGGGGTTTTATGTAGTGTAGAAACTCTGAAAACAAGCCACTTCTGGCACATCTGGCTTTCTGTTTTTATAAAATGCCACGTCATCACGCTCTTTAAGATATTGCACATTTTCTAAATACTACAAATTTTCTTCAGCCTTATTATACAATTTCAACCAAAAGTGGAAAAACAATTATGTATGTTTATTTTCTCCAAACTTTGGCAGAAAGATGACGATTTGCTGAGGATGTTGTTTAAAGATAAAAACGTGCTTTTAAAATTCCATTTTAAGAAGTAAAGAGTTCTGATTTCTGATATCTGATATCTGAGAGAGATTTGGTTTTGTGCACATGTGGCTCAGCTTCAGCCCACACAGATCTCAGGCCTCAGTAATTGCACTTGGCCTGCAATCAATTATGTGCTCAGAGGATGAAAAAAAAAAGAAGTATAATCACTTTGTTGTAGTACGTAAAGCAGGTTGGATTCTTAAAGTGATACTGAACTCAAATCTTTTTGGTTTCTAATAGTCATTTACTGGTTTGAATGGTTAATTAGGGTGGAGTTGCCCTTCCTTACATAACGGGTTGTAATTGACTTGTGTTTTTAATAATATATTGTCCATGCAGGAAATGTTGTACTTGATTGATGAATGTCCCAAGAACCAAAATAGAACAAAACCGTGCCAACTGGCCATTAAAAACACACATTAACTCCCAACAAAACAACATGTGCTTCTTGCTCAATGGAATTGCACTGTCACTTTTAGTAATCACTGTATACAGCTGGACTTCCTATCTCATCAGTCCGGTAATGTTTTGTCTTCTTTTTGCAGATTCAAACACTGTCCATATGAGTACATTAACACAATGTTCTATTACACGGCACATCTTGGCCTCCAAACAAGTATAAACACCAGGACACGAAAACATTACAATACAATGTTCTTATCCAGAAATGATAAAGAAAGGATGATGGCAAACCTTCATGAACTTAGTCTTGGGTTTGAGCATGCAGGTGACGATGGTTTGGTTCCTGTAGGGGAAGCTGACGATGTCGAAGCCGATGGCCTCAGGAACTGCGAGGAAGAGTGAAATCACCCAGATGGACAAAATCTCAATGACTGTAAGCAGAGGGATGCCTACACCCTGAACTCTGCTCCAGGATGCAACAGCCCGGTACCTGTAAAGTAGAGACACAGAGATAGAGACATATTAGACATATTGATGTTCATTAGACACTGCAGTGGCCGCTCCTAAAACTCCCCCAAACTCCACCCACCCTGGCCCCATCCAATTCCTTCACAATCCCACTTACACGCTTCAACATGGACTTTGTTACCAACACACACTCTCTGATGCACATTGAAGCACTTAAGGCCCTTTCACTACAACCCTTACCTTTCTTTAACGCTTGAACATTTTCTTTTTTTCCCCTTGCATGTTTTTTTCTGTTTTCCTTTTTTATTTCTCTTTGTGTGTTTTATCTCTGCTAATGTATCTCTGATTCCAGTTTAACTTACTTTCTCATTCTCCAACACCATGTTTCGTATGTTTTGTATTGTCTAGAACTCGTTTTGTCAACACATTAAAAGGAACTTTATTAAGTTAAATTAAAGTTACTGCAGCAGGAGTTAAGATGATAGCACTCCTGGGATATGAAATGAAGATAAAAATCTATTTTTTGGACACACAGTTGCTGTTGTTCAACTGCTTTCAGTCATTAAACAGAAATCTGTAAAGTCATCATTTTCTCTCCTGACTGATAAAGCTAACATTTTCCTCTATGCATGGCAGCGCACCAAGCACAACAAACTGCTCAGTCAGCAAAGACTATCAAAAGGTTAAGAATTGATGAGGAGAGATGATCAATTGTTTATTTTAAATATCTAATATTTATATTTTTGTGATGCCTCCAAACAGACCGGCCCCATGTTGGCAGAGGGGTCTGTCTGTTGGCTCGTGTTTCTCGTGCACTGAATCCTTGTTTGCTTGTTTGTTTCATTAATGGAAACCACTTGTCGAAATGTTTTAGTAAAATCCTGCATCAAGATTTTATGGCAAAAACAATATATTTTTCATGACACATTTGAATTTCTCTGTCGAACAACATGGCGGCATTTATATTTTACTAAGTGGTAATGTAGCCACCTTTTTTCTCTTCCTCCAACATTGAAAAGATACAAAAGTATTTCAATAATACACACAGAAAAACATCTGCTCTTGAACACAACTGTATAGCCCTGCAGTCTTTTTTCTGATTATAGAGGTCATTAAATATATCTACCTAGATGAACCTTGGAGCTTCAGAGCTTCTTATCTCTTAAGTTTAATCTATAGTGCAAGAAGTAAGATGACACTCTTTTTCTGCACTTCATCATCATCATTTATTCATTAAGGAATTTCTATTAAGGTACTATTATAAACGTTTCTACATAGAGCCTTGTATATAAACATCATGTAGGCTCTATAGCGTATCATACACTCTTACACTTAAAAGAAGTGACTCCAAATGGTTCCGTTACATGAGCTCATCTCAAAAGTTTTCAACATTAAGGCATCAAAAACAAGAGCAGAGAGATAAATGATTCACATTAAGGATGCACCCTCAGTAATGACCTTTCCTGAAACGGATCATTATTAGCTCCACTAACTAGATCCGAATGCCATTTAACTGGAATCATATCAAAATACTGAGTTTGGTTTCTTTTCCTCTTCCTGATTCAGATACTGGTTTAATTTTATTGCTATAGAATCTGCTTTTTCAGCTATGAATAAAAATACATTGTACATTTTATCAGGTTTTTTTTATCTTTTAATATAATATGAGGTGTTTACCCTTGCTGAAATTTGGATCATATTTGCCTTCTTTTATCCAACCGAGAAACATTTGGTAACTGTTGTCTGTAGAAGACGTTACATGTATAAAGCTTGTTTGCTAAATTCTTCTACTTTCAGTCTTCAGGGCATTTAAGAACATCGCGCTGTCATTACAAGGCAAAGTAACTTAAGTGACAAAATGATGCTTTTAAAACACAAATAGAACTTTTATAAGGGAGAGAAATTAAGACAGTTAAATTGTACAAGATGTTTCGGAGAATATCCAACTGTTAAACTTTACCAATTAACCTAAAACAAACAAAAGCATAGTGTAAAAGTCTGGAAAGCTATTTAAATGTAACTATTTAAAAAAAAAAAGTGTTTGAGAAAAAAACAAAAGAAATACAAGTCAAAATGTATTTTGGTCAATTGTTCAATATTAACATGGCAGGATTATAGCTTTAATTACACAAGGTTTATAAAGGACCTTTAAGGCTGAGTAAGAACATCAGAACTGTAAATGGGACCTTATAATAAAGCAGTGTTGGGTGTGAAAGCACTGACCTGTCCACGCTGAGGGCACACAAGTTGAGGACAGTGATGCCCACAGAGGCTTTCTGCAGGAAGGGCACAAGCTTACACAGATACATGCCAAAAGGACTGTCGTCAAAGGGAAAGTGCCCGGCCAGGAGCTGGAGGAAAAAAAAAAATACGTTCAACTGTGACATAAACACAGTTTGTCACAACATTCATCATGTGCACAATGATACACGTCACATGGAGGTTTTGGGACGGACCATATGGAGCTCATAAACTGATAAAATGTCCACATCTCCTGCAAACATAAAAACTTATCCTAACTTATAACACAAAGCGATTTCCACAACCTCTTATCGAATTACTTCCCCTTGAAATGAAGTCAAGGCCGTGTGAGTTAAGACCTTTGTTTCCATCAAACTGGACTTGGCACTTTTTCTTCAGTTAGATACAACCTACGTAGAAAAAGTTTTCTCACAGCTGAAGCCAGAGGAAGAACTTTGTGGTGCTTCCTGGCCTTCTATTGTTTACTCATGTTGTTAAAGTTTCCCAGAAACACAGAAGAGCCAGAGAGGAAAGAGGCCAGTGCACGTCACTGTTTTCTAGTGTAGAAGTAGCTGATTATTTTTGGAAACAACTGTCATGGCCCCGAGGATGTGAACAAGGGGCCGCAGCATGGTCTCAACACTGTAGACGTGGCTCTGTCTTTGTTTGTGTATAAACTTGAACCCCCCACCCCCTTCTGTTAGATTTTGTTTCCTTTTTGCACATGTGTTGCTCAGGCTACAAAGTCCTTTTGCCCTCAAAGTCCTGACTTAATTCTAACCAGGTGGCTTTCCCATTTTTTTCTCTGGCTTCCAATAATACACAGGAGAGATCTATTTGACTGATCACTTCATTGTGCCATCATTCTTGGTTATTATACAAAGCACAGCATTATATACTGATATTAATCAACCCAAAGCAGCAGCCAGAGCATAATCTATAATCAGTAAATGCCTCATATTTTAAAGGCTCAGTCCGTGGTGATAAGTAACACATTAGTATTCAGCTGCTAAAAATTAAGACACAAAGTTGAAATCAGCAATTGATCTAAAATTGGTCAGCGGGATTTAACAGGACAATAAAATACTTTTGTTTGTATTTTTGAAAGTTGATTAAAAAAAAGATCAATGAAGGATTTTCATTTTTATAGAATTGATTGGAGATGATTCAAACTGTTTTTTTAATATAAGGAGACTTACTGGTGATTATTAAAACAAGAGTAATACAAACGTAAGGGCTTAACACTACCCTACAATTGCTCAAAAGGAGATTGTATGGGAATATTTTTTAGGGATAAAAATTAATTGCATGAGATTTAAATTGACAATAAAATACATTATAGAGCCTAGAACTGCAGGGGTTTATTTATTGGGCTTTCTAAAATACAACATGACATCATCTGCAGAGAAAGAAATCACATGGTTTTCTTTACCCACTGCGGTGCAGATGGGTGGTTTGGTTTAATCCTGATGACTTCTGCCTGGGCATATATAGGTTTAATTGTTTTTCTGATACCTTTAAGGTAACTTTTTTTTATGTTATTTCAACTGGAATCCTCTGAAAAAAAATTAAATCAAAAATAAAAATTGTACCTTTTTAACCTCGCATTTGTTTTCTATCAGACATTATAGATGGGCCTTCAAATAAGTGCTGAGTTTTTGAAATATATAATCTCTAGATAAAGGACACTGATTCATGTCCTAGGTCAATATGCAGCCACTGGCATGTGTGTTTACAGTCTGATTCCTGTGTTTATTTAGACAGCCATATCCCTGCTCCTCTCATCACTAATCCCACACAAGGATGATAACAGCGTCCCACTGATTACACTTTCCCGTTTGCACACTCCCTTAAACGCATTCCCTGCTTTTCCTGTCTGTCACATCCCACTTTATCTACTGTATCACATCCATTGTCGATACACTTCTTCATGTCAACAAATAGACCTATCATTAAGATGCTTTAAGAAATAGGGTTAAAACTTTACATAAAACAATTGAAGACCATACCTTGAAAACAGTGATGGGTATATCAGTGACTATGTAGATCAGATCTCCTATTGCCAGACTGGCAATGAGGGCATTGGGCCCGTTCCTCATGCACTTGTGCTGGTAAATAATCCTCAGCAGGGTGGCGTTGCCGACCAGGCCGACCACAAACACTAAAATGGAAATGATTGTGTTGATGTACTTAAAATAGTGCTTTATAGACGTCTTCTCATGGCACATCGGAAGCGGCATCTTTATGACAGTTTGATTTCCTTCATATGCATGTGCCCCAGCTTGTGAATCAGCCCCCCGGGCCTTCAGGTAGAGGCCAGGCCCCGTGCTGGGACTGCTGGTGGTACTGTGGAAAGCCGGAGAGTGGAGGGTGGAGTGGACGAGGAGGCCCTCCTCTGCTTCTGCTCTGTTTGTCTGGCACATACCTCTGGCTGCCATACAGGCCATTAGCAGCAACATATGCACAGCCGGGGTGCCCATTATGGAAGACATTTGGCGCTTTGATTTCACTGATTGAAAGACTGTCCCAATATATCACTGGCGAGAGAAGAAAACAGATTACACAAAGATTATTTGGAATTTTTTCAGACAACAGAGGGAAAGAAAAACCAACACCTCCTCGTTTTTTCTCCAGTTAAGCAAAAGTCAAAATAAAAGTGTCAATTACAAGGAAGTTTAACTTCTCATTTCAAAAGCTGTAAGGAAGTAACACAACTCCTTCAAGACTTCAAAAAGGTATTGCCAAGGGGGCACAGATGGGGGATGCCAGCAGTAGTTTCAGTCAGACTTTTAAAAGACGAGGCATCAGAAGTGCACAACGGGCATCTCGTTTGTCATTTCTGGAAGACGAAGCCTTCGGTTATGTCTTTGTGTCAATAATGTTACAGCATCATCACAGTGAGGCTTTGTGCCTCCACATGCTGTTGTCATAGAGAGCCCCTGATTTCCTCAGTTTTGCATTCCCCCTCTGTTTCTAATTTGGAAAGGTTTAAACATGTGGCTACAAAACAGTGAGGTTTGTTTTACAGGAAAACAGGGCCAAGGCTTGAGCTTTAGCATGCTTTTTTTGTTACAAGAAACAATATTCAAATAAAGATTTGATTATGATCAAAGAAAGCCAAATAAAGTATCTGATTTTACCTTTTTACCTTTATTCTCTTTTAATACTTTTATACATATAACTTCACCATTACTGTCACAAAGTAAAAAATGATGAACTCTCCGGACAAAACCAGAGCAATTCACTATACTAAACTCCAACCAAAGAGCAGATAAAGTTTCAAACTGTCACATCCTTAGTGAAGCCCTTTTCATCATGTCACAGCACCGGCAACTCTTATAGCCCTGAGTTCTTCCTGTTCAGAGTCCCAGCTGTCACCAAGTACACAAAGAACTATTTAGCAGCCAGCCCTTCAAGTAGCATCACAGTTTAGCATCAGCATGACACTAGTGGGATCTGTGACAGCACGCAAACTGATCCCTCCATAAATAATAAATACATTTCGTTTTCACCTACCTCTTCTAAAATGTCTGCCTGGCCCCCTTGGAAAGCGTCAGGCAAACTTTCGGCTGAAGCCCCCAGACATCTGTATCACATCACATGAGTAATTAACGCACTATCAAAGCCACAGCGGATCCCACTTGGTTTGAGCAATGCACCCGTCTGCTCTGAGGTGCCTTCGCATTATGGCTCAGAGTTTCCTGTGGAGAGTTTGCAGTATGTCTGAGAGTGTGTGCGTGTGAAGTTGTGTGTATGTGTGTGTGTGTGTGTGTGTGTGTGTGTGTGTCAGAGCACCAGTGAGACACTTTGACTGGGTGGGATAGTAAATCTCCACCTCCCTTTGGTAACAGACTGGGCCCCCCTTTGGAAACATCTCCCCCTACTCTCCCCTCTCTCAGAGGCACCGCCTGCTGACAGTCATCTCCAAGGCACAGGCTTGCACACTCACATGCACAAATACACGCACACACACACACACACACACACACACACACACACACACACACACACGCACACAAATAGAGTAAGGGGCTCCAATCTGCCCTGGTTCCTTAAATCCCTCCTACCTTCTCCTGCAATCCCTCTCTGACTCACGTTATGTCTTGTATGCATTACATGCAACTGTTTCCTCACACGAGAAGGAGCAGAGATAAGATGGGTGAAGAAGGCATGAGGAAGATATACTGTCCATGATGTGATTTTGTGTTTCCTTCTTTCCAAATGGGGAAAGCTAAGACAGGAGGTGGGAGAATACCACCAGAATGCCTTTACTTTAACAGACTAAGCACTGTGTGATGTAGTCAAACCACATCACACTTTCTGACAATCGTCCATGTGAAATGGGTTGTTATAAATCTTTATATTAGCGGTAAAACGTGGATAATGACTGTGTGGGCAAATATAGGATGAAAAAGGTTGTTAAGTCGAGATAAGCACCAATTTAATTACCAAACAACTTCATTACAAAATATATAAATCTAGAAAATCAAATATTCTCTGGTTTTCCTTTAAATGCAAAAAAACAAAAGAAAGTGAAAAACAACCCCAACTAAAACAGACAGTGCTTATTAAGATGACTATGTCTGAACAAGAGAAGAAGACAGGTCAATGTCAGAGAGATGAGTGCTTCTACATCAGCGTCCATTATGGATTCCAAAATGGACCATTTATCATGATGTGTGCTGAGAGCAGGAAGAGGCCAATCAAAGTCACCACAATCAGTCTTTTCCAACGGTGAACAGCTGACACAGCAACGGCTTAAAATTAGAAAAATGATATGCACTACTCTTCTGATCATTTAGTACATATTTGTTAAAAAACGACCAATTCTCCAGAAACCTTTTCTACTACTTCTAAGTAGTTGTTTGTGTATCTCTGTAGTCATTCTATGTCACTTTAGCCCCATTTCCACCAAGCGGTCCGGTTCAGTTTGGTTCTGTACGGTACACATTTATTTTGTTGTTTGTGTCTTTTTGAAATTAAATGAGTAGAAGTAGAATTAGTAGGATTACTCTCCATAGCTTTGTAACTGTTTGATTGTCTTTGACATGGTTTTCTGTTACTTTGTAGTTGTTTTGTTTCTCTTTGTGGTCACTTAAGTCTCTTCACATTATGTTAACTTGTTAAAGTCAGTATTACATTTTATTGGGACTTAAGCCTTTTCTTTTGGGTCACTGTTCCCATCAGTTTAGAATATAGAATAGAACGTTATTTGTCCACAATGTGGAGGATTGTCTTTGGCTTCACAATAACCAAAAACAACATGATGACAAACAACACAACTTTTAAGAACAGTAAGCGATTAGAAGAGCACTTGGAGTCCTTGACAACATCATTGTCGATTTGGTTGCAAATGTGTGAATATACAAACTTTGTATCTTACCTGGTGAAAACAGTTTTTTCCTCCTATCTTTGTTATAAGGTTAAAGCTTTTTGCATCATGCCTCTATACTGCATATTGTACCATAGCGTAAACCATTTACCAAAATATGAAACAGGGGAAATTCATTTATAATTTGTAATTCATTTTGTTTTTGAACTTCCAGTTGAGTTGAGGAAAAGCTTCTTTAAACAAAAATGTTTTTTTGTACATCATGCACCTTAACATACATAAGACAGCAATTAAGAAAAAGACAGTCACAAAACCGCTGCCATATCTAAAGTTTTTTCAAAATGAAATGTTATGCTACTTCTCAGAACATGTAGGTTGACTGTTTATGGTTCATTTGCAGGTACTTTTCCCACAATCAAATGTGACTTAATTGGGTAATGCCAATATTTACAGCCATTTAAAATTAAACACATCGTGTTTTCTTTAATTGTAGTCATCAATTTATCATGGCTTCTGAATAAGTTATGGTCAGCAGTGGCGAATATTTAATTTATTGGAACGTGATTTGCTGACGGCATCTGAATCCTTAGCCCTTATTATTTTTTTCCAAAGTCCCTTGATTGTTGGCAGCCTCTATGACATTTTAACTTTTGAGGGGGGTAGTAGAGTCTTTGTTAGTAAATCCATTAATATATAAATGATGAAACCTTTACCTGCTCCCAGTTGCTTCTGCTTTCATGTTGTTGTTGTGTTGTTGTTTGGATCGTAATCAGGTATTAATGCCATTCTGTCTGAACTCAAAGATGGCAGGCTGCCTGGTAATTCATATGCTTGTTCTCTGATGGCATCTGTCGAAGCGTGCTCTCTGCATATTGGTACATACCCTATGGGAAATTTCAATCCAGCCCCAGACTGAGTGGGATGTAAGCAATTTCTTAACTGGGACACTTGTGCGAAAACAGAAAGAACAGAGAGAGGGAGAGATAGAGAGGTGCAGGGAGAGAGAAGGAAAGAGAGAGAGAGAGAATAAGTTTGAGGCCAATTCTTCTGTGACAAGCAGTGACAGAGTGAAGAGGGTTCAGTTTACCGCCTGGCTTTATTAATTTGGGACATATGGCTCACACGAACGAAAAGTTTCAGTGAGAGACTAAAAGAAAATGTGAACCTTGATGGAGGAATTTTCATCGTAGCCTGATTAGTGCAAGCACTTGACTCCTTGTGAGATCAATCAATATAAAAATGTTAACATCATAATTAGGAGGAGGGGATTTTTGTCTAAGCAGTGCTGATGATATCTGATGAAAACAGCCTGTGGAAAAGTCTGCGTTATTGGCTGGTGCAAAGTTCTTGCAACTTTCTTCACTGTTGTTTTAGGCTATCTGAAGGAGTGTGTGTGAAAGGTAACTGACAGCATGTTATCCTGTGGACTCATTTATGGCGGCATTGGTATGGAATTAATTCTGAAGAGGACAAGTCATAAAACCTATCAACCAGAATTATTTCCAATGGTATTCCTTTTCGTCTGTCCATTTTTTATTTTATTTGAGATCAAACTTTAGCTTGAGACACAACAGTAAGCACTCAGGCAGAACACATTATATAATAGCCTTGTCATGGAGGTTATTTTGGTTGCTGTTTGTTTGCTGTCAGCAGAAATACTACTGGCCTGATTTGAATAATACTTTTCAGAAAGGATGTAGCACAGTTTAGGGAAGAACCCATAAAATGTTGGGCAGGATGTGGATCAGACCAGAAAAGAATTAACAAAAAGCAGATCTGACTCACGTAATTAAGAGCAGTTGTGTTTTTCTGCTTTAAAAAAAATTAATGTTCATGTTTTAGTTGAGAAACATGGTGTCCCTTTAGCTTTGCCACATCCTATTTTATCATACAGGAAAAATACCCATACAAGTGCATATTCTTGCAAATATGCATATCATTGAAGATGGGAATATTGGCCTTATCGGAGGTCACATGTCTGAGTTCCCTTATTGTCTCTGTTTCGGACTGTCTTACTGTAAATGTTACTCAGAGTTTGAACCTGAAATTGTGCTGAACATATTTTTGGAGTAAACACAGAAATTACTTGTACTGTATGAATTGAAGCTTGTAGAGCACATCATTTGCATAATATTGAACAAAAAGTGGATTTGTATTGCTTCCATTAAGCCTCTGGTTCCCCACCTAAAAAAAAGCAGAGAAACAAGGGTGGCAGACTTGAAATGCATTGTAAGGTTCCAGTATGTTTTGCAATCAAAAATATCTTTGCGGGTTCCTGGAAAGCCTAGTCATTCTGTCGCATTCCATATGGTGTCGATAGTCCCAGCGGCTATGGGTTCAAATCCAACCTCTACCCTTTCCTGCATGTCACCTCCCACTCTCTCCTGCCAACTTTTTCTGTCTCTCTTCAGCTGTCCTATCCAATAAAGGCAAAAATGCCCCCTACAAAATAACTTACAAAAAAATGTCTTTGCTGCTTCATATCTCAGAACTGTATTCCATCCAGACAGCACCTTACAGCTGCCAAACTTCTGAAGGATGACTCAGACTTACCAGCATCTGTACGGTGGATAGATAGGTAGAGGGGAAGCTGTGCATAAATAGAAGAGTGCAATTGGCAAATTTGAAAATCACTGTGTTACACAAGGAACATTTGTAACAAGATGTATTCATTTTCCAGCAATATGGGACTGACTGTTGGATGTATTTGTGCTTGTCTTGAATAAGAAATGACCAAAAGTGTGTTTTTTGACCAAACAGAGGAACTATTCACTAAGGAGTTCCCTGAGAACTACAAACCATGGGGACTAGTTTCTGTCCGCATTTGCACATTCGTGATGGCTGATATTAAACTTAAAGTGACGTAAGCTGGCCGACAGTTGCTCGAGCAGCGTCACTTTCGCGACTAAAATAGTTCATGGGGGGGGGGGGGGGGGTCGGTTCCAACAGTTCTTAAAACTCTGAAAAAGTTGTGGCTCACTCATTTCACTATCTCAGGCTTTATTCAACCTGGGTTAATTTGTCAATTAAAGACATAAAGTAATTCTTAATCGATAAATCATTGTAGATTACAGAACATGCTTGTTTCACAAAACCTTCAGATAGCTGAAGTGATTTCCAATTTATACAGTTTGCAGGTCAATGATGGCATCAGACAACAGGTCTCTATGTGAAAAGTAATATTTTAAACTTAGTATGATGCAGTAAGTATAGTAAATTCAGTGTTGTAAGTATAGTAGTAGCCTATATGGCATAGTGATGGTAGTGGTAGCTGACATAAGTGGACACCAAGCTTTATGTCAGCTTTATGTCAGAATAAGGCATAAGTTGGACATTTAGCCTACGCTAACATAGGCCTATGTTACTGGAATCTGCTTTAGAAATTTAGTTACAGCATAATTATTGTAAGTTGCAAAAAAAACAGTACTGTGGGGAGTTTACTGTCCATTATGTTGATAATATTCTGCCAT